ACACTACACTTTTAACGTGAAATTCAAACTTTATGGTTTTGTTTATTTTTTTGTGTTTATCCCGCTAATTTTAACTTTTAAAGGTTTTGGTTACCTTTTAATGGTAAAAAATATTTCGTATACACTTAAGCCCCGCTCTTTCATTTCGTTTTGTCGTCAACTCCAATAAATGAGCAAAATTATACTTTTTAAGTACAATTTTGCTCATTGATGTACCGGCCCCGGTGGTATTTCATCGAATGGTATTTTTATACCAAAGCCCTGTGCATATTTTTTACTATCTGGTATCGGTTCTGAAAATTTTCCTCATTCTTTGCTCATTGGAATCGTCATATGTTGTCTTGCTCGCACTTACGTTAAATCGAATAGCTAAGACAAAAAATGATCAATGAATGAGGCCAAAAATGTAATGTCATAAGCCCATAACTAACTATTTAAGATCAACATTTTTCTCACACGTAAGCTTATGCATTTTAGATGAGAAGAATTATCAGCTCTTACCGATAAGAAAAAATAATTGGGAATACAATTGATACATGTCCTATGGAACCTATTTAATACATTTAAAAGCTGCCAGCACATACAATATGCCTATTACATTTATTTTGTATTCAGTATTAGCTATTATACATAAAATCCATTTAAAATATAATAACTAATATAGGGAGAGGAGAAACTAGCTCCATTGATAAAACTTTTTATTTGTATTTAAGATTTAACATTTTGTTAGCAGCGTATATCGCGAATATACCCCATTAATTGCTGTGCACATTGCAGTCGAAATCTGGTGCACCGAACACAATGATGTACCACGGTTTTAATTGTATGTTTTAAACCTATTATCCAGAATTTCCTTCGGATTCCGGGCATCGTGCTTAAATCGGACTTGTTTATTATAATTGGATGTTTTTGATTAAAATTTAACTCCGAAAATTTTAGTCTGCCCCCGACTCTTAAAATTTCATTGCTATTCATAAATGGATGTAAGGGTGCTAATTTACACTTGAAGTCTATCTCCTTTTTCCTTTTCATTTTTTCGACTTCTTCGGGAAATTTTTTAAGCTGATGTAGCTTGAAAATTTTAATTTCTGATCGCTCCAATTCTTCTACTGATAAATTATTCGATCCTGACATGATTCCTCTTTTACATCGATTTATGAATCTCAGTACATATGCCATTACTTAAATCAATTTTCCCGTATTGCTGAATTTATTTTCCATATCATGCAGAACATATTCTTGTTTTACCGTGCTTAAATTTTATAGTACTGTATCCTCTTCTTCCAAGGGCCAGTCTTTCTTTTCTTTACTAAGCCACTTCGGTCCTTTCCACCAAAGTTCAGAGTTTCCAAGCTTGTCCAATGCCTCTCGTTCCTAAATCAGCAGGATTTTCCTTTGACCCTATGTGTCTCCATGCAGTCATTGGTGTCAGTTGTTTGATTTGTTTTACATTTGATCGTATAAACCTGTCTTTATTTCTGCAATTTTTTATTCAACTTAACGCATTTGTTGAACTCCCAGCATAGACATCAGTTTTCGTCGCTACGATCGCAGTAACTAAATTCAACAATTTTGCTAGCAGGTGTGCGGCACACAGTTCCAATTTTGGCAGAGTTTTTCGATCTTTTAATGGATTAACTTTTGTTTTGCTTGCAATTATGATAACTCCACTTGATGTCTTCCCATATACTACTGCTGCACATGCTAGCTCCGATGCGTCTGCAAACCCATGTATTTCTATAGGTTCATTTTCCGATCCACCAGTCCATAGCGGAATCCTTATGTTTTCTATTGCTTTTAATTTTTTATTAAAATTTATCCATTCATCAGCAATTTTTTCGTCCAGCACTTCATCCCATCCAACTTCAGATATCCACAGCTTTTGGATAAATAATTGTCCTTGTAATGGTTTCAACCATCCCATTGGATCAAAAATACTTGCTTAGATCGATAGAGCTCCTCTTCTTGTTATAATCTTTCCTTCTGTCATATTGATTTTAAACCCGAACTCATCACTTTGGGGTTTCCAAATCAATTCCAGTGTCTTCACTGTCTCTTCATTGTTTACTTCAAACATCTTCACCATTGAAGTTTCTGGTAACGATGCTAGAATTTCACGATGGTTTGCCGCCCATTTGTGTGGTATATTTAAAAATGTTGTAATATTTTAACTAAAATAAATTTTTTTTTTTTACAAAAACCCTGATTATTTTTACTTTATTGCCACATAGTATCTGTAAACAAGATTTCAAGCAAATCAAAACATTTATTTTTTTTTCAAAATCCGTCATCAAAAAAACATTGCAGCTTTGATGATTTTTAGCTCAATTTTTCAATCGTTCCTATGGCAGCTATATGATATCGTTTTCCGATTAAAATTTAAGAAAATCGTAAATCTGAACTACCAAATGAGTACCAAAGAATTTTTTTTTTAAATTCAAAAGTGGAAAAGCTTTAGTTTTTTTCTTTTTATTTCGAGCTATATACTATAGTCGTCCGATCCGGCTCGTTCCGGCTCGTTCCCAACTTTTGGAAAAGTTTTATGCCGATAGCTTTAAAGCTGAGAGACTAGTTTGACGGACATGGCTAGATTGACACTCGTAGTGATGCTACTTTATAGGGTCGGAGATGTTTCCGACAACAAAAATACAATACATATTTCAGAAAAGAGAACGGAAGCTTACCTAAGGACATATTTTTTACGACAAATGAAAACACTAGAACTATTACAGATTATATAAACATAAAGCACAAAATAAATCACAAACTCACAGTTTCACATACTTTTCAGTATGCTGCCAGCAAACTCCGTGCATACATACGTATAGGGAACGCGTTTACGTAAAACAAAATGATTTATCTGTACTATTAACACGGTTAATTTTAAACTTACCTCAATATGGTTCCTGATACTGGATTGGCCTAAACATCTTAAGCTGCCCGCTAGCTCATTCGGTAGAGCATGAGAACTGTTGTCTGTATGGGACGAGGCCACACGTTTGTGGACGTTATTTAAAGCACAATTGTAAAAAATTGTGAAAATATATATTTTTTAGGAGTCACATTTGTCAAAGTGTGACAGGGATAAGGCTGAGTATACAATAGGAAATGCAAATAGATGGATGTACCAGCCCATCTGTTCATTGTTCAATTTCATAAGCACAGAAAAGACAAGGTCAGAAGAATAGCTGAATGTTATTTCGACTCTAATGCCCGAGTTTCACAACTTCTATAAATTGCAGTTACCCAACCACGATCGCTGTTAACCTAATAAGTGCAGCACTCGGAAGTTGGACAATTTGACTCCGCAGGTGTCTGAAAATCACCGCAAGTGTAGTCAGATTGTATGTTTGCAGATATTTGCACCCAAATGGACTTGAATTCGACTGCACCATGGAGTTTTTTATCTGGGTGCATTGATAGGAACAGAATGGGGCGGAACGAGCGATTCAATAGGACTTTTTGGCATTCAGACCCCTATATAAGAAAACTCCAAATCAAGAAAAAGGAGAAGAAGAACAAATGTGAACCACCGTAATATCTTGTTAACACAACTTAATAAAGTTCAAATATAACATACAAATAAAACAAGCTATGCAAATACTACTGTCATTGACCAACAGATTTCCGAAATATTTTACATTCCAGTTTTGATTGCCATTCTACACAGGATTGGTATTGCGATGAATATACAGGCCTTGATGGAAAAAATAAATGCAGTATAACCAACAAGCTTTCGGATTAAGAAGCTCCAACGGGTTCCGCCCGCAATAAACCATTTGCTTCAATGTCTACAATGTTGTTTCTCTTATGAGAAACATACAATAATTATATAATTATGAAAAAATATATGTTATCCTGTTGGCTGTTTGCAAGGAATAATAGATGCAACTTGTGAACACCGACCGATTTAGAAATAATAAGTAGAAAAAACGAACGTGGTTCTCTCTTCAGGAGTTTATTTCATTTTCATGCCGTATTCCAATTCGCAGTGAAAGCGGAATGGTGGCAGAAGTGCACGGTTGCTAATAGTGCAGCTTAGCAGAGCTTGCATATAAATTATAAAACCGTTAAGTATTTATTTTATATTTTTATTTATTTCCATACGCCCGTAAGGGCATAGGTATTTTATACAGAGTTAATTCTCTGGAGTACAATTTTTGACTAAACTAAAGAACCTATCCAACTGCAGCTTGAGGAATTTGCCTGGCTGCAGCGCTGTCGCCAAGGTGCCGGGTCAGCGTTTTGTCCCTGCCCGTGGCGATCACTCGCTCCGCGAGTGCTCTGGTCTGACTCCGGGCACTTGCACCCGGAACGCGCGGTCAGCGGTTTCTTCGCTGCGCGTGCAGGCCACCGGATATGGTCTGCAACTCGGCAGTTTCTTCTCTTGGGAACTGCCTGTGTTAACTTATATTTTCCGTTATTTTTTCTAAAAACGTTCGGGGTAAATTATTTCTTATCGCATTTATTTATCACATTTTTAAATGCGGCATTTAGCCTTATGGGAGTCCCTGTGTAAATAAATGCGCGTTAGGGTAAATGCGTTTTAATGCGCCAATCCTATGCGAGGAATTCCCCAAGAACTTGTGAGGACTATGACTAAAACTTTCGATAGGATTCCTCCCAATTTTCTCGAAGAATTCCCCAGGAGTTTCTAGGGAATACTTTGTGATTTCCGAGAGAATTCCTGGGGATATCTGGAGAGAATTCCTATGGATATATTAGAAAACCAATCCTTATTACATGTATAGAAAAGTTAAAAAACGTTATATTTCTAGTAAGCTGGAAAACAAAAATAAAATAGGCATGAAAACAAATGAGCAACGTGAATTATACAATGAAAAAAATGTATTTAAGTTTATAAGCTAGTGTAATCTCCAATACTTTAAAAACATGGGCTTTCCGAAGTAAGACTCCATTTTCTCTTTTACATATTTTGCAAATGAATTTTTTTATTAAATTTATTAAATTACAAAACTTATCCATTGGTAATTAAACGTTTACCAATCATTTACTAGTTTCCCGAGATTGTTACCATAAGTATCTAGCCAGGACCCAAATACAATCGGTTCCATATTAGATATAGACAAATGATTGCTTGCTGGCTTTGAAGAGGAGATGTGGTGATCAGAGCTTGGGTGCGCTATTTGAGTAAAATAACCAAGTTTGACAGCTTCGTGTTCAGTTTTTTTAATTTCAGCGGCAGCAGCTTGAGCGGCAGCTTGAGCCACCGCCGCCTTTGATGCCGCGAGTCGTTGTTGAATAGCCTCAGAGCGCTGAATAGCAGCTGCCGCCTGAGACTTCTGTTTCAATATTATAGCCTGCGTTTGTTTTTCCGTTGCAATACGTTGTTGGTTTAACACATTCTCCTTAGCAGCCTGTAGTTGTTGCTGCGCAACAAAAAAGTTGGCTGAGGCCTGACCAGCAACTGAAACGGCATTTGACACTTCACTGGGTGTAGGCCCGAATCCCAGAGTATGTCTAGCAGTCCAGCTGAGCCAAGCTTGGTCCCATGGGCTGCCACTCAAAAGTCTGGCTCCACTTTCCCATGGAACATGGTCTTCCACAGTAATACTCCTGTTTGGCACCACTTTCAAACTGGAATTACAACAGGCATTCACAGCAAGTGCCATTAAAAGCATCAACCTGAGAATGGGCCGACATTCGGATTTATTTGGTGTAAACTGCATTTTACTAAAGGCAACCAATATCTCTTGAATTCCCTAGCCTTACTATTTATAATCTGTGTTGGGGAGCAGTTTTATACTAGTACCTAGGTAGTTACTAACACGGAAAAAAATCTTAATTTATATGATTTAATCTGTGTTTTAGGCTCGTTTTTTTGAAATCGGTTGACTGTTTCTTATGCTGTCATATATCTGTCATACTGACCAATATTTTCTGAATTTTCGTGTGGAAATAAGTTCTTGAAACTTTCCAAATCGTATTTTATTAAACGTACATAGGTTAAACATTATAATATATATATCTCGCTCTTTTGCCTGTCATTATCATATATCATATTGACTGCAATGGTATTAAAAATTAGGGTTGGCGATAACTTCAACATTTATTCTACATTTTATTCTATAATCTATACTGACGAGAGAAAATATGCATTTAAAATTTGTATGAAGCATTTTACTTATTAAAATGTTTCATCCTATGCATCAAATTGTTAGTTTTAATTTTTATACCCTTGCAGAGGGTGTTATAATTTCAGTCAGAAGTTCGCAACGCAGTGAAGGCTACTTTTCCGACCCTATAAAGTATATATTTTAGATCAGCAGTACTAGGAGAGTCGATCAAGCCATGACCGTCTGTCCGTCTGTCAGTCTGCCCGGCTGTCCGTACGTTTCTACGCTAACTAGTCTTTCAGTTGTAAAGCTATCTGCATAAAAATTTACCAGAAATTGGTTTTTCTTTTGCAGGTAGTAAATAAGTCGGAACGAGCCGGATCGGACGACTATAGCATATAGCTCACATGAGAACAATCGGAAAAATAAATAAAAAAATTATAACTTTGCTATTTTAAATTTTTTTTTAGTTCTTCAACATATAGTAATGATTAAATGTTTCAGAATTACGGTTTAAATTTAGTAAAAATCGAACTACTGTATCAAATAACTCCCATGGAAACAATAAAAATATTAAAAAAATATTTTTTTTGTTTAAAACTTTTTTCTTTCTTTTTATTTATTAATAATTTGACAGTTCAGAATTACCCTTTTAATTCTATTAAAATCGGAAAAAAATATTGTAAAACTATTATAAGAACTATCGAATAATTGAGCTTCAAATCATCTTAGCTTCAATGCTCTTAAGCAAGTAAATCATAATTTTAATGTTTTCAATATATTTAATTACGGTATATTAATTCTTTTCTTAAATTGTTTGGTGTTCCTGTTTTTAGTTCATATTTGGAAGACACCTGTATGATGGACCGTCCACTTAACGTTTGCCTTAGCATTTTAAAAAGCAACATTTTACAATGTATATAGCGAAAACTTTGTTTCTTTTAAAACAATTTTTGAAAACTTTAGTATTTTTCATTTCATTTATGCATTGTAAATTTATTTGTATAATTTTTTAAAACTGTTGGTATTCACAAAGAGTTTTGAATTGTTTTTTTTAATGACATTTTAAAAATTGTTTTATCTGTTTACATACTGCGAAAATTTTGTACCTCTTACCTTACCTAACTATTTATTTATGCAAATACATTGCACCTTTCTTAGTTTTGAAAATAATAGACAACCTAAGACTTTTTTTAAGTGCCAACCAATCTGGTCTTGCTAAAATAATCGGTCACGTCTGAGTTTTTTTCTTTAGTTTGATACTGTGGGAGTATAAAAATGTTTATAAATTGCTGCACGTGCACAATCACTGTGGACGGCCGTCCATATAATAACAAAACGCATTGAAAATATACATTTAAATACAGAACGCGATGTAAAATTGTTGTTTTTACGTTTGCATACACATTTATTTGTGTAATTTATTTATTTTTAGTTTTTAATTTTTTTTTATTCTGGTTCCCACCCATGCAGCTAGTACAAAAATTTAATATTGTCCACATAAAATAAATTTATCGGCGGATTGTGGAGGTAAATAGCTTGTTTTTTTGAAACTTGTCGAGCTCTAGCATCTATGTTATGAGACCTATTCTTATATCATGTATTTCTAGGTAAATAAGCTATCGACGAAATTGGTTAAGTAGAACTGGAGATTAAAAATAAAAATAGGCTTTAATACAGGTGAAATACCTTATTAAGGGGCTGTACTACTAATGAAAAAATAGGGAATTTTGTGTTCAATTTTTTAAATAGAAAGTACATAGTAGAATATTTAGAAATTTTTTGCACATAATAGGTAAGTTATCGACTTTAATTTAAGGTTTCTCTTTTACATAAATATTGAGAAATAACGGGACTATGAGCTATCTGCCGAGGGTCCAAAAAAAAGAACTCTAACTGCTGACATGATTTTTGTCGAATTAGAGTCTGAAATCGAAAAATTCTGAAAGATTATGAAAGCTAAATATATTTCCCATACAATAACCTACCATCTTTTCAAAGTATCAGATATTAACAAAATTACATCGGTTTATGCCAAATGGACAAATTTTAACCTATCCGAAAGTTCGTAGTTCATTGTATGTACGACCCATTCAAGATGATTAAGTGTTAGTTTGAACGATTGGTCAACTTGTTTTCGAGTTATGAAGTCAGCAGTTTTCAAAAATGTCGTTTCGACTTAAAGGCGTTTAAAGTTTCAGGTGCAGCTGTGTATGCCTGCGAGCGGTCGTTCTCTAGAACGCTGTCATTCAAAAACAATTTTAGATACGACCTTGCCGCTTTCACAGGCTATTAATAAAATTGTAAATTATCGATAACCCCCTTAACATGGTTTGGTCGATAGCGAGAGTAACGTTTCATTTCAGATTATGTATGTATTAAATCCCTTTAGTAGTCTGGAACCGTTTTTGATTGAGCTGCAAAACTCTCTTTTACTTTACTTTTTGGCAACCCCGATCGTTTACAAGAAAATGATTTTTGTAACTTGTAATCGACTATAGCCTTTAATGTTTTAGCATAATGACATTTCAATATTTGAATTGGATATCCAACATTTCAGGTGTTGAAGAAGCAATTGTCTCACACTTAGCCCGTCCAAATATGTCACTTTGTTTGGCTTTCAGAAACAGGAAATGAATGGATTTAAAATAATTATAATTGTTCAATAGGCCATTAACTCAAATTACTCGTGTTTGCCTTATAAGTTTGCCAATAAGTTAAAACAAAGTTAAATTTAATACTTTCACTCTTAAATTATATGGTATTAGTTGTTAAGCACAAAAAATATATAAAAAAAATAACGAAACCAAAAAAAAATGCATAGCTTCCAGTAGGCTATAAGGTTAAGTAAACAGCTTTTTTTTTTAGAAAAATAGAAGTAAATCTCTGTTATTGAATTTCATATATACACATACAAAATTGGTAAGATATGATACACATTCCGATGAAATTCCGTCTGATTTTATGATATATTTGAAATGTAAAGACGTCGTCGACTGCTTACTGGTATCTGACTCGTGACGGTTCCTTCGAGACTCTGGATATTATGCGAACCTTACTGTCGGGACCGGCAAGGTGTTTCGCCGCGCAGGTAGAACGAGGTTCTGCCTTTTCGCCTAGCCACCTTTATCGCAGGCTCCCTAAGTTGGTCCGGATTGTGTCCGCAAGGTATATCGCCTAGCAGGTAGAACTAGGTTCGACCTCTTCGTCCAGCCACCTTTATCGCAGACTCCACGCAAGGACTCCCTGAGCTCGATTTAATCACGACCTAGCACCCGTTGGATCTCAGCGTTGAAGCCTCAGCCTTGTAGACACTCAGTCGTTCGGCGTCTCGACTTTGCGATCTTGGTACTCGGTACTTGATTAACTTGCTACTGGTCTCGCGTACACGCACTCGCTTTGATTCTCGCACTATTACTTCCTGTGTGCTGCGCTTGCGCCGCTTTCTATAGCCTGTGATGGTCCCGTTATTGCCCTTTTCCAGCTCGCGTGATCGGGTCCAAGGTCCACTGCCGCACCGTTAGTTCACGGTGCGTCCTCTTTGTGCGGGTCCGAAGTCCGCCAATTTACTGTTCGACCCTGTTGCCCTTGCCGTGTGAGGGTCCAATGTCCAGCGTGGTACCGTTAATTCACGGTGTCTCCGCTTTGCCCGGGTCCAAGGTCCGTTGTTTACCGTTTGAACTTGTTGCCCTTGACTCCTCCGGCATTCTCGCCTCCTTCGCCGTTGCTATGTAGCTCTCCTGCATCGGAATTTGTGGGGAGTTTTAAGACACCTCACATTTCCCCCTTTCTTCGGAAATGTTATAAAAGTGGTGATCTCCCCGCCCCTGTTGTTCGTTCATTCAAATTCTCCGCCAAACTTGTTCTCCTCGTGACCCCATACAGTTCCCCAAAAGACTTCCACTTTCCCTGAGCTGCCCACGTAAGACTCCCCCCAGACAGCGCTCCGAAAGACCTTTAACTGTCCCATGGCTGTGCTGCGTTAGCCTGTTCCCCAGACAGTTCCCCGAAAGACTTGAACTTTCCCAAAACTGCATCTCGTTCCTTAGATAATGACATGTCTCGGGGTGCTGACCCTGGACCGCGTGCCCCGGGAGACCCTTGCGGCAGCAAGTTACCCCCCTCGCTAACACCTGCGGCAGCCTCGTGTTTTCTGCCGGCCCGCGATTCCCCCTCTCACCGCCCCCGTTCCTCGATCGGCTGCTGCGGCGGACCACTCTTTTTTTCCTGTGTTGTGCTGTGTTGTGATCCCCTACCCAAATAATAACTGCTGGGCTTGAATGCTGGGATACGCTTTATTGGGCCTTGGACTGCTCCTGCGGCGACTGCAGCTGCTCCTGCGGCGGCTGCGTCTGCAGCGGTTGCGGCTCCCAGAGTGCGGCCTCCTATGCCTCGGCGTCCCTCAGCCTCTGCTGCCACGCGGCGACTGCTGCCCTCCTCGCCACCCGCCGGGCTCCCGTTGGCGGACAGTAACCGCCCGCGCCTCCAATATACGAGCCCACTCTTTGGGCTCGCCCGACGGTGGTATTTGCCCTAGGCAGATCCTCCCGAGCCCTGCCGTCGCCCTGCTCAACCGGCGGAAGATCATCCGGTCCCTCGCAGGACACCTCGGG